AGCGCCGATAAAACTGGGAAATTCCTAACTTCCAAACCGTTATTCCTCTGTCCGCTATCCAATCAGACTCCAGAACGCAGGGACCACAGTGCCAGACCTCTTCAAGTGTTTGCTCATGCTTTTCCTTCTATTTTAGAGAAATCCAGTCACCAGGCGTGAAAAAATGAAATGGGTGTCACGCCACTCGCTCTGCAGTTTGTTCACCATCCAGCTACACTAAGGCTAACTTTTCTGGCTGTTCCCACGCTGAAACATTGAATGTTCCTCTGTAGCAGAGTTATTCACACGTTTGGATATTGGGATACTCTTTTACAGAGAAGGCAGAGAAAGCGTAAAGCCGCCAGATATTTACGTGAAAGTCAAATATAAGGATTCCTCCGGAGAATGTTACACATTGGTTGTAAAATCAGGTGAATTAAGGGGAGGGAATGTCCTCGTAGTATTATCGCTAGACTTGTTAATCCATGGACCCAGGTAATGTCCTGGGTTCAAATCCCACCAAGGCCAATGGTGGAATTTGAATTCAATAAAAATCTGGAATTAGGAGCCTAATCATAACCAATGTCCATTGTCAGGAAAAACCCATCTGGTTCACTAATGGCCTTTAGAGAATGCTCTTCCTTTAGGGAAGGAAGCTGCCATCCTTACCTAGTCTGGTTTCCATGTGACTCCAGACCCACAGTAATATGACTGACTCTTAACTGCTCTATGGGCAGTCAGAGATGGGCAATAAATACTGACCAAATCAATGACGTTCTCATCCCATGAATGAATGAAATAAGAACCATATTAGAACCATACTCCAGAGGAGCCAAACCAAAGCAACTAAAAACTGGACTTGAAACTTTAACTCTGCTTTCTCTCCACAGATGCTGCTAGACCAGTTGATTTTCTGCAGCAATTTCAGTTGTTCTTTCAGGTTTCCAGCATCCACAGTTCTTTGTTTATTGTAATACTATTGATTACTTGTGGCCTTACACCTTAATGTGTCATTACTGTGATGCAACTTTATGACAGATTTCTCCAAATTTGGAAGCATGTTCATTGCAAAAGGTCAGAAAATGGAAACTGTTAAGAAATGCAATTGACAGTGGTATCCAGCAGACAGCAATCTTTATGAGGGGTTTGAGACAGCACTGAAACTCCAAAATTCAATGAGCATGTATCCAAAATGGGTAAAACCCATCGTGGCATCACTGTGGTACTGGAAGAGACCCAAGATGGACATATCACCCAGGGAGTGTGAGGTGGAGTTAAATGGTTAGTTTGGAAAGTTTGTCTTTGGCCTCAGATGCCCTCAAACACCCTCCCCTCAACTTAAATAAAGACAGAGTCCCCCTGGTCCCACATACCACCCCACCAACCTTCGCATCCAGCACATCATCCTCCGCCATTTCCACCACCTACAATCCAACCCCATCACCAAAGAGATATTTCCCTCTATCTGCCTTTCATAGGGACGGCTCATTCCACAACTCGCTCGTCTGCTTCACTCCCCCACCAACCCCACCACACCAGGTACCCTTCCTTGCAACTTCAGGAGGTGCTACACATGCCCCTACACCACCCCTCTCACCTCCATAGGAAGCCCAAGACAAACTTTCCATATCTGACAGGGGTTCACCTGGCCACATCCTCCAACCTGGTCCGTTGCTCTCAATGTGGCCTCCTCAACATCAGTGAGACCAAATGTAGACTCGGTGACAGATTTGCGGAGCACCTGCGATCTGTACACTATAATCAACAACACTTTCCGGTTGCCAAGTATTTAACTCCCCTTCCCACTGCCTTGGTGATATGTCCATCCTGGGCCTCCTCCAGTGCCACAATGATGCCACCCACAAACTGAAGGAACAACACCTCATATTCCACCTTGGGAGCCTACAGCCTGATGGCCTAAACATAGAATTCACCAGTTTCAAAATCTCCCCACCCTAGCCCCATCCCATGTCCAACCCTCTCTCTCATCCCCGCCTCCTTAATCTGACACTACCTGTCCATTTCCTTCCCCACCTATCCATCCCAGCTTTCCCACTGACCAATCCCCACTACCCCTACCTGCATCCACCTATCGCCATTCCACCTACCTTCCCCAGGCCCACCCCTCTTCCCTCTATTTATTTCCCGGCTCCCTTCCCCCTCCCCAGTCCTGATGAATGGTTTAGGCCCGAAACATCGACTTTCCTGCTCTTCTGTTGCTGCCTGACCTGCTGTGTTCTTCCAGCTCCACAGTGTATCGACTCTGACTCCAGCATCTGCAGTTCTTGCTATCTCTGAAGCAGTAAATACTCAGGGAAGGAATTACGGGAAATGCATTGGGCAGAGTGAAGCCATGAATTTTTATGTTCAGGAAATGTTCTTAGAATTGTTTTCCTGCTTTCTAAACTCTGGATCTACTAGTGCCCTGAGTATTTGGTAATACAAAAATGCAACTATCATTGTTCATAACAGTTCATTTCTTAAAAGAAAATATTGCCCTACATTCAGCTTCATTAAAAATACTCTCCCTACTTTGTATGAATTTGAGAATGCATTGAGACCAATTGGGAAGGTTTTATAAAAAGTACCAAGAAAAATGTTTGAATCTCAAATACCTTGAGTCCTATACATACACAAAAGCCAGGAAAGCTTAAAGTAGTTGCTTAACATTGTTATAATCTTTTATAAGCTTGACTTATGATGCAGCATTTATTGGTAAGATTAAGTTTTTTTGGTTTGGCTCGGAATGACTGCTGTGATAGTTGAGGTTTGTCAGTAGAAGTATGAATTCTGCTTCATAATCTACAGAAACATGTGCAAACCCAATGTCACATATTGTCAAAAATGACTAAGATAAAGAATTATACCGTTGCCCAATACATCATATAGTATAAGATAACAAGGTGTCGAGCTGGAGGAACACAGCAGGCCAAGCAGCATCAGAGGAGCAGGAAAGCTGACGTTTCGGATCGAGGCCCTTCTTCAGAAATGGGGGAGGGGAAGGGGATTCTGAAATAAATAGGGAGAGGTTTTTCCATATATTGCTTACCATCTCCCTGTCTCTTCCTGTGAAATTCTGGCAATATCTTGTTCCTTGTTGCATTCTATTCTTTTAGAGATTTGAATCCTTCCAGTTTCCCCATGCTATAGTTCTCCCTCCCTGGCACCACTTGTAATACATTGTTGTTGGATTGTAGTCCATTTTATGTAGAAGACAAAGGAATGGTTTCATTTCAAATTTTCAAGATATTAAGAAGAATGGGGTAAGGTAGATGAGACATTTTTCTTGCTGGTTTGAGAGTTGAGGGAAAGGGATTGTAGTCTGCTTTTAAAATTTTTGAGTCTGCTTTTAAGAGAACTTCTGGTTCAGAAAATTTCAAAACACGAAGGGTAGCAGAAGTTTGGAACTCTGCATAAATAGTGATGGTTCAATTATTAATTTTAAATCTGTTAATGATAGTTTGTTGTTAACCAAAGGTATTAAGGAATAAGGGGGAAAGATGACTGTATGGAGTTGGATCAGAGGCAATCCATAATCTCACCTAACGCCAGAACAAGCACAAGGGGTGAAATGAAGTCTATCTGTTCCTACGTTCATATGTTCCCAAGTAATATTGGCAAAAATGCTTCGATTATACTAACTTTAGTCTTTAGTTTCAGTACTATTTGAGTCTGACTTCAGAGTAGGGAACTTTCTGTATGACATTACATGTAGCATGGTTTCAGTTAGTTGGATTTGCTGCTGATAAACAGCTCAATTAATGTTTTAGCCAAACTGGCGTAGTTCTGCACAAAGTTGTTTGAAGATCAGATTTGCCGTTTTTCAAACTGTAATAAACAAGCTAAACATTTCAATCAAGAGGAGTACTCATTTCAGATATTACTGGGATTCTAACATTTATTGTACAGATGATATGTGTGGGTTAGCTGAGCAGCAAATGCTCAAATGTTCTGATCCAATTACAAAATGCACTTTCAAAGTAATTTCTTTCATCAATACAACAGAACTGTGCAAAAGAAAGCAGTATCTTCAAAAAACATCCACATACTGAATTGTTATATAACAACATAAATAAAACACACAACTGTCATGCAACAGAAGTACAAAGGTAATGTTAAAACTGTTGCTATCTATTCTGCTACATAAAGCTTTTCTTAGGCAAGGCATGCAGACGAGGACACTGAAACAACATCATAGTGTGATACAGAAACAGGATAAAGAAAATCTTATATCTATTGTTTGAAGATGTATTGAATGGAATTTATTTCTTACAGAATGTAGAAAGATGTTCAAATGAATCAAGCAATGAATGAGTGTAGGGGTTAATATGGGCAGGGAAGCAGGAGCTTAGAGATTGGACTTTCACTGACGGGTTCAAACCAAACTTTGATTTATGGGTTGAGTTATAGCACCCTTTGTTGAGTGTAATGTTCATAATATGATCTGGATCAATTTAACATATAGTTATTTATAAATGTTACTCAGGCAGGTCCAAGGATGGTTGGTTTGGGATATGGAGAAAAGATCCCATGGTACAGGTGAGGTTGAGGCACAGTATTGGAGTCGGCTGGAGGGAGATTCATTCAGCTTCGGGCTGTGCTATACAGTATTTGACTAGAAATGTGTGATATTGACAATGACTCTCCAAAATAGAAAGTCTTTGATTTCTTGAAGGTGATATTCTGTTGATCTTAAATTTGCAATCAAAAATGCAGTGTTGAGTATGAGATTTATAGTTGCACATTTCTACAATCCCTGGTGAAAGAGGTCATAATACTAACTGATACACCATTCCTAAAATTTCTTCAAAACTGTATTGCCTTCACAAAGAGTCCAAGGATCATGGTTTATTGTTGCCTTAAACTTTCTGCGGATGCATTGTTCAGACTGGAATGCTGGAGTATGGTGCTTAGATTTGATTGGCTTATTTTTTGGAGCAGTGGTAAGAAGTTAGTTTCTTTTCTAAAGGTATGTCCGTTTAGATGAACAAGTTTGATTGGTCCAAATGGATATGGGTGGATCAGCAGAAATATTCATGCTGTTGTACTTCATTGTTTGTTGCTTCTTCAGAGTCTAAACTAGACCTTGGTGACAGAAGTCTGTTAGACTCATCTTTATCATGGCGAGTCCGATACTCCCCTTCAGTGCTGCTGGGTTTGGGCCCTGTTGACAGGCTTTCAAATGTGACGTATGAGTCATTTTGGAAACCCTCTTCTGGCGGCTTAATCAGAAACTTTCTGCAGCGCCTCTTCAGGGCTCCACAGCAGACAATGAGAGTAAGAGGGACCACAATAACACAGGCCACTGTGACCACCACCAGGTTAATAAGTTTCTGAGTCCCACTCGCATTAGCTACCTCATCTGTGGAGAAAATCACACACTGCTCCTTCTTGGGAATGAGACCTTTGAGACAAATACAAACAACGTACTTGGTCTGTGGCATTAAGCCATCAATGGTGATTTTGGTCTTTCCAGGCCCTACATTTATTCTTTGCATTTTCCTTTCACCAAAAGTAGTATAAAGAATGCTAAAAATTGTGATATTTGTAGCCTTTAGAGATCTCCAAGCCAGGGAAACACTATGATAGGTACCCCCTAAAACTCTTACAGTTCTGACCAGACAGTCTGCTTCTGGCTGTGTTGAAGAATGACTGGATGTAATATTGTCAGAATCATCAGCACTTCTTCGCCTTTCCAATAAGCCACTGACTTGTGGAGGATCCATGCTCTGTGAAACAATTTCTGGTGCTTCTTCATTTGGTTTAATCCAGTGGTTACGCGTGAGAAAGTAATCAGTCCCATTTATAGTATGAGAGCTCCTTCGTAACTCCCTTGGTGATGTCGTGCTGCTCAGTGCACTCACATACCTAGCCATCAGTTTCCTCATTTTTATGAGGCACATTCTTTTGGATGTGGTTTTGATTGGTGCCAGTGCAATGGTAGAGTTCACCACGTGAAGGGAAATCGAAGCATTTGATGTACCCACCAGATTATTAGCTCTGCACAAATATATTCCAGAATCCTGATGGGATGCAGTTGATAGATGGAGTGTAGACCACTTTAATCTCTCATGAGAATTGTCCTGTATTACTGTAAAACACAATAATTGTAGCAAACGTCATTACATTTGAGATAGAAAAACATAGTGTTTTTTGGATTAATAATTTAAACCATTTAAATGTGCCTGCTGTGTTTCCTCATCAATCTGTGTTGTCTAGTGAAATGGCTGACAGACGTTGCAACTCTCCATTACAGATGCAAAATAATCTTAAAAGAGAGAAAAAGACTTTCATGTCATGATGGGTTCTTCTGGCTTGAAGGCTAAAATTTGCTATGAACAATTGTACCTTGATTGGCATTACAAATTTTCAAGATCAATCACAGAATTATTACAGTGCAGAAAAACACCATTCAGCCCATCTTGTCTGTGCTAGCTGTCTAAATGACCGATTCACTTTGTGCCATTCTCCTGCAATCTCCCGGTGACTCTGCACATTGTTCCTTTTCAAATAACTATCTACTTCCCTTCTGAATGTCTCCACCACACTCTCAGACAGTGGATTCCAGACCCCTAGCCACTCACTGTATGAAAAATATTTTTGTAATATCGTATCATTTTTGTTTTTTTCCTCACTAATTACTTTAAATCTGTCCCCTTTTATCCTTGATCCTTTCATGAATGGGAACAATTTCTCTTTACTTACTCTCTCTTGAGCTCTCTTGATTTTGAATACTTCAAAGTGATCTCTTAACATCTCTTCTCCAAGCAAAATAGTGCCAGTTTCTCCAACCCATCTTCAGAATTGCCCTCATCCTTGTAACCATTCTAGTAAACTTCCTCTGTACACTCGCCAATGTCTTCACTTTTTTCTAAAGTGCAGTGCCCAGAACTAGGTGCAATATTTCAACAGAAGCCGAACTAGTGTCTTACATAACTTCAATATAACTTCCTTGCTCTTATACACTATGCCCCCCTTTATAGAGTCTCATATACTGTATGTTCTATTTCCTGCTGTCTCAACCTCTCCTGCCACTTTTATGATTTGTGCGTATTTACATGCAGGACCCTCTACTCTTACATTCCCTTTAGAGTTATTTCCTTTATTTTATATTGTCTCTTCATGTTCTTCTACCAAAAGCTATCACCCCACATTCTCCACGTTGAACTTTATCTGTTACATAATCACACTGCACACTACAACATGATCTCCTCCATAGTTTAAAATGCTTTCAAGTTCCATATCATTTGTGAATTTTGAAATTGTGCCCTGTATACTATATAATTAGGAAGTTAATATTTATCAGGAAATGCTAAACTCCCAACACTGACCTTGGGGACTTCCACTACAAACCTTCCCAGAGTTATTTTCTGTATCCTGTCAGTCAGCCAATATGGTAGCTTAAATGTACCACCTCAATGCACCTACTAATAGGGGTTTTTAATAAACTCACTCACGGAATTTGGGTGTTGCAGGCTGTGCCAGCATTTATTGCTCATCCTAATTGTCTTTGAGAAGGTAGTTGTGAGTTCTTGAACAGTGGTCTTAAAAAGACATATCAAGAAGACAGCTACAAATGACAGACAGACGGGTTTCATATTAATGTACATTGCTTTACACAACAGAATTTCAGAACCTTGATTAACTGCCATAGCTTGCATATTTCACAACATTTTACAGACAAGTTATCGTAGGCAATCTATAGGAAGTGAATTAAGAGTTATGGAACCCAGATAGGTAGAGTTAAGATACAAATTAGTCATGACCTAAGTAGATAGTGGAACATGCTCATGAGGATGAATATCCTATTCACGTTCCTATGCCCCTACGATAAATTACAAACCTTAATCCTATTTAGTTGGGCTAATCTAAGAAACATCAAAGTTTAATGTAAAGGCAAAGCTTATCAGGAACAGAAAAAATGAACATTTGTCTCTCAGCAGCATTCTGAAGTGAACTTTTAAAGTAGTGCAATGTTTATGGACATATAAAACACATGGATTATGCAATATAAGATGGACAACTAGATGGATGACAATATTTTACGGGGGAGGCATTCAACGTTAAATTATAAGAGCAAATCTAAATGTTTTAAATCTATCTGAAGCTAGGTCATTCTCTTTTGGTTACAGTAACATGCCCATATAGTTCATGAGATCTATTCTTGATCTATATTTTTTCAACATACGTACTGGCTTTTTTAATATTATTCATTCACGGGATGAGGGCATCACTGGCTGGGTGAGCATGTATTGCCCATCCCTAATTGCCCAGAGACCAGTTAAGAGTCAACGACATTGCTGTTGGTCTGGAGTCGCATGTAGGCCAGACCAGGTAAGGATGGCAGTTTCCTTCCCTAAAGGACGTTAGTGAACCAGATGGGGTTTTTCCCAACAATTGGCTATGGATTTATGGTTATCATTAGACACTTAATTCCAAATGTTTATTGAATTCAAATCCCACCATCTGCCATGCCCAGAACATTGTCTGGGTCTCTGGATTGACAGTACAGCGATAATACCACTAGGCCATTGCCTCCCCATAATCATGGCTATAATCAATACATCAACATCCTTAGTGAAGGGTTACCAAAAAATGTAATTGCACTGTTTATTGAGATTTAGTGTAAGAAAGTAACAGTTGTGACATATTGGATCTTGATGCTTCCCTAGTATCACAGTTTAGTTTTTTTTTTAACTAAAAACCAGTTGAAAAATGACTTTATTTGACTTCAGTGACCAGAGACATACCTGTTCCATTCAATAGGATATTATCTGGTCTACTCCAGCTAATTTCAGGGATGGGAACCCCTGTAGCAACACAATATAGTGAGATAATTCTTCCTATGACTGTGGTCACTTTACTTTCCGCAGCTTGAATTGTTGGACTCTGGCACTGTTTTAGCTCGATGCTGCTGAATAGGGATCCAGAGAGATTTTCTGGCCATGAGCACTTTAATCCAGGGTCCATCAAAGCTGTAGTAGAATTATTCCTCTTGACCAAATGAACCAGTTCTGACAATCTGCAGTCACATTCCCAAGGGTTGTCATGTAGTCCTATTGAAGGGAACAAGTGTACATTTCATTGAGGGGAAAGCATTGCAAAACATTGTGAATCTGACATTGCTGTGGGTCTGGAGTCGCATGTAGGCCAGACCAGGTTAGATATAAATTCTTCAATTTTGGAATATATTTATTTTAAATATGCAAAATACACACTCTTTAATTGTTGATTCTGACTGCACAGTATGATTTTCAGCTCTTCTGACGTTTCGATGTGAGTTATTATCCTAGGGTATGGGTCCCACAGTTTATGGTAATCCAAGGGACCAATCAGTCATCATGCAGTGAGCCTCAGTAAAGTATTACTCTGTGGAGGGTAACACAGCCAACTTCTGTGATATCCTCACCTAGTGTGCATTTGTGTCTTTTCCAGTACACTAATAAGAAGCAGAAAACCAAGCTGATATTTACTCTGGCAGGGAACACCATGCTCAGTTGCACTGTTCTCATTGCCACATTACTTGAGAATTGCAAACTCAGCACGTGAAAACCACTAAAGTTCCTGTTTGATTAAATATTCTATTCCCCCACCACACACCAACAAATAACACAACAGAAGAATACAAAAATAGCTGGAAAGGCAGATTGTGAGAGGGGTCCAGAGAATTTACGGAGAGATATTGATAGGTTAATTAAATGGGCAAAAAGTTGGTAAATGAGGCATAATATAGGAAAATGCAAAGTTGTTCATTTTGGAAGGGAAAGCAAAAGAACAGAACATTATTTAAATGAGAAAAACTGCAGAAAGTTATTACACAGAGGGACTTGGGGGTACCTGCGCATGAACGCAGAAAACTAGCACACAGCTGCAGCAGGTAATCAGGAAGACTAATGGAATGTTGGCCCTTATTTCAAGGGGGTTGTAGTTTAGAGTGGAGAATTTTTATTACAACTGTACAAGGTGCCGATGAGACCACATCTGGGGTACTGTGAGCAATTTCAATCCCCTTATTTGAGAAGATATATAATTTCATTAGAGGCAGCTTGGTGGAAGTTCACTGAGATAATCCCTGGTCTGAAAGAATTGTCTGGTCTGAAGCGAAGGTTAAACAGGTTGGGATTCTACTTTCTGGAGTTGAGAAGAATGAGAGGTGATTTCATTGAAACATATAGGATTCTTAAGAGGCTCGACAGGCTAAATGTTTAGAGGATGTTTCTTCACAAGGGAGAGTTTAGGACCAGAGGGTTTAGACTCAGGATAAACAGGCTCCAATTTAAGACTGAGATGAGGAGGAATTTCTTCACTCAGAAGATTTTGAGTCTTTGGAACTCCTTGCCACAGACAGTTGTGGGACAATGTCCTTTTGTATATTTAAGGCTGAGATAGATAGATTCTTGATCAGTAGGGGAATCAAGTGTTACGGGAAAGGGCAAGAAAGTTGGTGTGAGGACGGGTGGATCAGCCATAATTCTATTAAATAGTGGAGCAGGCTACATCTGTTCCTATTTCTTATTGTCTTAGGAAAGTTGTGCAACACAGAGTCTTAGGTGGTTAAGAAAACTAATAAAATGGTCCCTATATTCATTTACTCATTTCTGTTCCTAAAGAATTAATAAGCGATGCAACTAAAATTCTACACAAACGTATACAGCCAGTTGTTTGGAGTCACGTTGTCTTAAGTTGCTTATTTTATAATATCAATTTGTTTATTTGTAATTTAAAGTGCAATAGCAGCAAGCATTGACATTTGTCATGGAAAAGTATGAGACTTTAATGGATTTTACGTCTGTATTCCCTCTTCTATTGAGGATAGGTCCTTGAAAAACAAAGTGCTATAAATAAGTATATATTTGAAATTAGGAGTCCAATTAATTTACACTGTGGTAAATCTGAATATACTGGTTGTACTGTACAGGAAAGCATATAATATTGCAAAACAGGTTTTTATGTATCAGCAATTGAACACAGTCCTGATAGTTTCTTTGGTGTGGCCTGAACTGTGATGAAGAAAGCTCAAGTGGAGTATATAATTACCACAATATTGCCCTATTATTTTGCATTGTAGAGGTGTTTGCCCTTGCTGTTTGTTATGGGCCACCATACCAGGTATGATATTTGTTTCAGCAGCACTTCATGCAAACACAAGGATAACCTCAAATTCAAAACACATTGCACCAGCAATCGGTTAAAACTCACAGATAACAAAAATAAGGCAACTAGCTTGAAGTTAAAAAAAAGCAACTTATTAACATGTAGGTGCAAGTAAAATAATTGAGTTGAACCAAAGATACTGTTAACTATTACAGGGTAAAGGCAAATGATTCAAAGTAAAGATGTTGAGGTGAGTGTATATCAGAAAGACACTTGCTATGGTGAAAAACAAGTGCATCATGGAGGAATGTTACATTTCTGTTATTACATGTGACATTGCAGCTTTCTACAAAATTGTTAAATTAGGAAGAAACTAATCACCAATTGATGTGTATTGTTTTAATATAGGTTATGTCAATAGAAGTTTTATGTCAATAATTCAGCTAAAGATCTACCTTTTATTGAAATAAAATATTATCGATGGGTTTGTTTACAAACGATTCTACTGAACAAAAGAGATAGGGCATTCTTCATTCTCACCTATGATAAGTTTTGAATTGTCAGTTGATGAAGGTGCACAGGGCACCTTTGGAGGAGTCAGCCATGTTGAAATCACTTTGGAAGACAGGGTAGTCAGCCTGTTTCCTGATAAATCCAGGTAGGTAATATTTCTGAAATAAGTGGCTGCTTGGCTGGGGAATGATTGAAGAACGTTGCCATGTAAGTCAAGGAGCCAGAGTTGTGGCAAATAAGAAAGGGCTTCCCATGGAAAAGTTGCAAGTGCATTTCTATCCAGATGAAGTTCCCTCAGACCAATCACGCCCTGCAGACTCTTTCTGTCGAAGCTGCTGATGGAGTTACTGGACAGCCAAAGGTACTCCAGACTGGAGATAGAAGAGAAAGCTTGGGTGGAAATTTGTTTAATTAATGTTTTCTCAATTACTAGTTTTACTGTTTCAGCTGGAACATTGTTTGGAATCAGAGTCATTTCAGGATCATTACAAAGCACAGCCCTGAAAGTAAAGAAAATCTCTTGTTAGTTCAATTATTCATTACTTGCTACAACTTATCAAACTTTTAAGTTACAGAGTAAACAACGTGGTAATTTGTGTTGGTGGTTATTTGTTTACTTGTTTGTCATCCAGATTTCTCCCATCTTTTCTTGAAAACTGCTAAGATGCTGTGAGTGTTATCAATTCTTCTGTAATATGTCTGAGTAATTTGGCCTAGGCAGTGAGTAGCAGCCAGTTGTTCTACTGTGAAAAGCAAGGGTTATGAGAGCAAACACAGGTCCTCATCATACCAGTAGTTTTTCCATTGCTGAAGGGAAGAAAAAGACGCCTGACTGATTTAGCCCTCCCAATTCCTAGATACCAATTGTGTTGCCCTCACTCCAGCCTTAGCTGAAATCTGGCACTGGTCTTGCTTGGTCTCTGGCTTCACTACTTACTGAAGAACATTGGTCCAAAAAGCTTCACTGCTCTGCAGGTAGCCCTTCTGCTGCTCAGAGCCAGGGGCAGACAGATATTCTCTTACACCAAGCATTACTGAGGCATGAATGACAGGAAATGCAACATAGGAAGTACTTCCATCATTTAGGAATGGTTGTACTAATCTTGATTTAACTTCAGCTGAAAACTGTGAGAAACAGCAAAGACAAGTCAGGAAGGGTTCTCAAAGAAGTTTTTTTTATCATATTCCATTTGATTTACTGCACCTGAATAAACAATCTAGCTCAATTTTCTTTACCTTCTCTTACATTTTATCATTTACCAACAAATGTAATGCATGTATTTATCAGTAATATGCACTTTGGAGAAGAATCAAAATGCAAGTGCCTTAATGAAGAGAAAACGGAGCCTCACTTTTAATCTGAAGAGATGGAAATGTTTTGACTGATAACATACTAATTCATGAGGTTGACAGCTTGGAAGAAATGACTTCAGGCATGTAACCAACCAAAGAACTATATAATCATTTCCTGAATTAAACATGATTTCAACTTTTATGATTTTCTTTTATTATGGACAATGCAGACAAGGAGTAAAAATTGTATTGTAGAATAAAATTCAATGTCAAATAATAAATATTGAGGAAATTGAAATACAGAAAAGTTATCTTCTGTGGTTTTTTGAGCGTTGTAAAATAGTTCCAAAAATACGCAATGATATTCTACAATTTACCTCATTACGAAATATATACATTGATATTATGCCTGATGCTGTACGAAATATATACATTGATATTATGCCTGATGCTGTACGAAATATATACATTGATATTATGCCTGATGCTGCATCATACAGTCACTAGAAATCAATTTGAAAAACACAGCCAAAATTAATCTCTTTGGAAGTAAATATGTTGAACTTTGGAAATGATGAATCAAATGCGAGGCACTTCAGAAAGGACAATTTCAATTGTACAATTATACAGTTTCAGTCATAAAAGAACTAGATGTCTCTCCTAATCTAAAACCAAAGTTGAAATGCTGAGATACCTTGTCATGAGTTCACCACTGTAACTCTGGAAAGTGCAGATGCATTGGGAAGGACACAAGCAGAAAGTCACAGACAGATCTCCAAAACACAAAAAGCAAAGCATCCAAATGTTGGGTGACATTTTCTCTGCTCCTCATAGTACTGGTGATCTGAAAGACTGTGCTGCTTAACACAGCTCCAGCAACATTTCTGTCTTTGTGGCTCACAATCCCAAAGTCCTCAGCTGCTACAGTGAATCCTGAGATAAAAAAAAGGATAGAAAGGGATTACAAAGGGCTTTCTGCTGTCATGAGAATGGTATATAGTCTGGGCACAATCGGGAGATATTATACTGAGAGAGCTAACGTGCAAGGATGTGAATTGTCCTGGATTGTTTTCTTCTCTTTAAATGCAAGTGTATTTGTTTGCATGGAGGTTAAGTGCATAGTATCATTCAATATGATACCACTGCAGGATGGTAGGAATAGACTGAGTGGTCTACTTAGGTGAAGTAGAACACTACACTGGTGTTGACGAACCGATGGTTTACTTCAGTGTTTTGCCATTCATTGATTCCAAAATAAAAATCATGTTAAGTGTTAAATATTTAATTGTTAAATGGAAAAGGCAGTTAAATTTTGATGAAACCAAAGGTAAATGCTGAGGGCAGTATAGTTTGCAATCCCTCCAATCCACATCTGTTATTAGATTTCAAAAAAGCACCATGCGTGTTCGGTCCAAGACTGACACAATGCTTAAGGTATGTTGGAGATTAAACCTCACGCATTCTGAGCAGGTTGATTAAAATAACTGAAACTGATGGAGAACGCTCTTGTGGTGCATTGGTAGTGTCCCTTCCTCTAAGTCATGAGGCCTGGGATCAAGTTCCAGGGGGTGTGTCATAATATCTTTGATACAGGCTAATTAAAAATGCTTGAAACCCGGTGGGGGAAAAGATCTCTGAGGAATGTGCATGTGGGAAATCATTTAAAAGGTAAATTCACTGCAAGGTAAGTGCAATAGGCCTTCTAAAAACCCTTTCTGGACTGTTACTTTTTCCCATCTGGGCCATTAGACTTCTATGAGCTGGAGCGTCAGGAATTATTTTGCCACAACCTTCAAAGGGAACAAGGGCTGGGCAATGTATCTGGTCCAACCAGAAACAACAACATCCTATGAACTAATAAAGGAGGTAAAAATATCTTTATTTGGAAGTGTTTGCCACTAGGAAACCTTCAAGGTGAGATGTCCAGTGGAAAAGGGGCAAGTGATAATATGCCAGGACATTCAGGTTCCTGATGGGTACTGTGCGCTCTTCTGCTTGCACCTACACCCCAACATCAGTAAAGACATAGGAAGTTCACCTTGGCAGACATTGGGAAGTGGAGGCTTTACATCCCAGTGATGTCTTCACCGCCAGCACTTTGAATGGCAATACAATGCGGGTGTGACTCTCTGTCTAACCATTTTGCCTGAAGGCTCTCAGTGAGTGTATAATCTCAGCATGGTATTGTGTGAAAAGTGGCATCCAATATGATCAGGAACCAATATGGTCTGTTTGCCTACAGGTATCAATGTACCATAAAGCATTTCTATGGGCTCTGTAAAACCCCAAGCGGTAACTTCCGAGCATCTGTATGTTTATATATTCACAACCCTGGATCTTTCTAATTCTCCACACGTTGGCATCTTTCCACTGTGTGTAGATTTTATTTCTTTAAATCATGACATGCATTATAATGCATCTTACAATATGTCTTTAAAATCTTTCATAGTGCTCTTTGCCAAATTGTTGGATTTTGTGTCAAGCAGCAAATATTAATATTGAGCTCCTAAAGTCCAAGTACAAATTATCATCTGTTCAAAAACCTAGTTCTGGCTTTTTATAAGTCACAGTTTATGTTTTATTTGGTTAACTTTATCTAAAGTATCTGCTTTCACCAATTAATCACAATAACTAAAACAGGTAAAAGGACTACATATTGTTCAATCAAAATATTTTGATCTCTCAACTAGCCTCAAAACAAATCTTGTTCCAAACTAGATTGTTTTGTCTCATTTTATGCTAGGTGTCTATTTATTTTACTCTGCTTATAAAGTGATTAATGCATTATTGCATGCAGCAACAACCTGCCTTTTCTGTTACTTGATTGTGAGTGTGGCTGCAATAAAGTGCTTTAAGGGGCTACATCAGTTTTGTAAATATAGCACAGATTTTTTAATGAGCAAATCCCTTCCAATACTCAGTGCAGGTGAACGGCCTCTCTCTGGTATGAACTCACTAGTGTGTCAGCAGGGTGAATGAATCAATGGATATCCTGCCACACTGGGAGCAGCTGAATGGCTTCTCCCCAGTGTGAGTTTGCTGGTGTACAGTGAGATGGCCTGACACAGTAAGTGCAGCTGAATGGCTTCTCTTCAGTGTTAATCTGCTGGTGTGTCAGGAGGGTAACCGACTGAATGAATCTCTTTCCACACGGAGCAGGTAAATGGTCTCTCCCCAGTGTGAATTTGCTGCTGTACAGTGAGGTTGTTTGACTGCCTCATCCTCCTTCCACAATCCCCGCAGCTGAATGGCCTCTCCTCAGTGTGAATAAGCCAGTGTTTCAGCAGGTTGGCTGACTCTCTCCAGTCTGACTGTATTGATGAGTTTCCAGTCGGGCTGGGTAATTGAATCCCTTCCCACAGTTCCCACATTTCCATAGCTTCTCCATGTTGCCCCTATCCTTGTGTCTGTCTTTTGTCCGCAACATGTACGGTTTCTCCTGCAGTGAATGATGTGATTTATTTCAGGCTGTGCAATTGGTTAATGCTGTTTCCAGTCAGCTCACTGGAACGTTAACACTCGTGTATTTGTTAACGTCACACTGATGTTTGAAATATTTTTTTTCGATCAGTGTCACAAATGGTAACTCAAGTAATGATTTTCTTAATCTGACCCCAATACTCAACCAGATTTGAAAATCCAAACCAAGTGATGATTCACAACCTTCACCATCTGTTATTTTGCAATTTATTGAAAGCATACTTGCTTAAATAAAATCTGATCTCTCTGAGATATAATGCAGAGATGGATTATCTTATTCACATGATAGATTACATGAACATTCCCAGAATATAATTGAATATTTTTGTCATTTGGCTCATACAAATATGTCTTATGTGAGCTCAGACCAATGGCCCTTTAATAATCAAATCATTGTTTGGCTGATGGCAGCATAGCTAAGTGCTTAAAGCTAAATTAGCTGCCAATTTTTCCTGGCAATTTTTCTTCCAAGGAAACTGAAAGTTCTGAAGCTAGATAAATCACCCAGACTGATGGACTACTCTCCAGAGTTCTGAAGGAGATAGCTGCGGAGATGATAGGGGCATTGGTGGTGATCTTTCTGGAATCATTGGAGTCAGGCAGGGTCCTAGAGGACTGGAAAATGGCTAATGTAACACCTCTGTTTAAGAAGGAGGTGAGGCAGAAGACGGGAAACTGCAGGCTGGTTAGCCAGACTTCGGTTGTTGGTCAAATTTTAGAGTCCGTTATGAAGAGTTAGAATATGGAGTACTTGGAAGTGCTTGGTAAAATAAAGCTGAGTCAGCATGGCTTTGTCAAGGGGTGGGCTTACCCAACAAATCTGTTAGAATTCTTTGAGATGGTAATGAGCAAGTTAGACAGAGGAGAGCCAGTGAATTTCCAGAAAGTCTTTGTCAAGGTGCTGTGCAGGAGGCTGCAGAATAACATAAGGACCCATGGTTTTAGGGACAAGGTATTGACATGGATAGAGGTTTGGTCAAATTGCAGAAGGCAGCGGGTAAGATATAAAGGGGTCTTTTCAGGATGGCAGCCAGCCAGTAATTAATGGAGATCCACAGGGGTCTGTGCTTAGACCACAATTATTCACATTATACATTAACAATCTGGATGAAGGAATTGAGGGCATTGCTGCTAAGTTTGCAATTGACACAAAGATAGCTGGAGGGGCAGGTGGTATTGAAGAAGAGAGGAGGCTGCAGAAAGACTTGGACAGGCTAGGAGAATAGGCAAAGAAGTGGCAGATGGAATACAATGAGAGAAAGTGTGAGGTTATGGACTTTGGTAAGAAGAATAGAGGCATAAATTAGTTTCTAAATTTGGAATGGCTTTGGAAATCTGAAGCTCAAAGGGATTTGGGAGTCCTAGTTCAGGGCTCTTTTAAGCTGTTTCCACGAGCAGGAGAGACTAGGTCTCAAGGACACAGCCTCAGACTGAAGGGATGACCCTTTAGAACCGAGATAAGAAGGAACTTCTTCAGCCAGAGGGCAGTTAATCTGTGGAACTCATTGCCATGATCTGCCATGATTGAATGGTGAAACAGATGTGATGGACTGAATGACCTAATTCTGTTCCCATATCTTATGGGGTTTTGGTCTTATCATTTGTGGGCCTCAGACAGAGGGGTCAGTATTGGGTCCGGCTGACAGAGAGGTTGTTGGTCCCCAAGGGGGACTGAGGAGTTATCAAGTCAGGGTTGGACAGTTGTTGTGAGGACAGGAGGTTGTGTACAAGAAGTTTGAGGGAGTTGGAGTTGTGAGTTCTGGGGAAGGGTCACTGGACCTGAAATGTTAGCTCTGTTTTTTCCTTCACAGATGCTGCCAGACCTGCTGAGCCTATCCAGCAATTTTGTTTTTGTCCACTTACATTCTGAAGCTGACTTGTCCAATATTACTATCAGATGGGATTATTAACACTTGGCAAAGCCAAATGCAAATTATTCATTTAATACCTCAGTCATGCCCCCTCTTTCCATATATAAATCCCCTGTTTGGTTTTTAATCAGCCCTAAGTCTTCTTTTACCACTGTTTTACCATTTATGTGCCTTTCAAAGACATTGGAATCCTGTTTTATGTAGGATGCCCATCAATTTCCATATTCCCACATTGCTTCTCTTATTTGCTTTGTCAAAACCCCATGAACCTGTCGTATTCAGCCTGCTTCTCAACGGCACTTTCCACATGACACCCATCATAAGCAAAACTTTAATTTCTACATCTTTTGAAATCCAGAAAGCTTTGAACTTGTTTGCCCCACCTTTCCATTTTGAAATAATTTTCCTTACCTTTTTTCTTAATTGATTCAATCAAGGGTTATGGGTTTTGCTGGGCCATCATTTATTACCCATCACTAGTCACCCTTGAGAAAGCAGTGATGAGCTGATTTCTTGGATTACAACAGTCCATTTGGTGTGATTTGGAGGTTGGGCTAAATGCTAGGGTGCTCACTGGGTTGGGGTGGTATAGTGCCAAGTGGAGGTTTGCAATGATAAGGTGGGTGAGGGGTTGGGGTAACATGTGGTTCAGAGAATACAATGTCAGGTGATTGAGGGGATAATGCAGAAGATGGCTGAGGGGTAGGGTGGCAGCTGAGTGTCGTCTTCATCAGCAATTACTCACTAACAATTATAATTATCTATCTTGGAAATTCCATGCCACTGGTTGTGGGTTCTGTGGGTCCTTATGTGGCTGATGAGCCTGATCCTCGATCTGCATCTCCCACTACACATTTAGCAGGTGGAATTGGTCCTTGATCTCGAGATTACTGGCATTCCTTTCTCTAGTTCCTTTCCTGTACTTCCTCTTGCTGATGGGTGGGGTAGAGTGGGTGAGGGGTGGGTTGACAGGTGGATGAGGGCATAGGGTGGCAGTGGTTGAGGGTTGGGATGTTAGGCAGTTGAGGCATCACAAATGGCAGGTGGGTAAGTTTTAGGTGGCAGGTGGGTGAAGGTTTACATACAAGGTAGGCAAAAATGTCGGTACATGGATGAATGAGTAGAGTAGATCATGGTGTGGTTGGAGGGGAGAAATTCATGTTGAAGGAATTTGGCAAGGAAATCCATTTGGGGCAGTTGGGTCCAAATGGGGTCAGGTCTGCTTGAGCAATTGATCTTAGGAATTGCTTTGAGGAGTTGGAGGGTTCAGATGTATGGGGGGATTGGGGTGTGGGTGAAGCGCAATGGAAGGAATGTCTAGTGTCTGTGGAGAGTATGGTGGGGTGAATTGGGTATTTAAGATCCTTGGGAACTATTAAACAAAGTCAGTGAGGACTGTGCAAAGTCTCAAACTCTAACTCAAAGTCTGGTCATTTTCAGAGGGTTCCAGACGTTGAGTAATTATCCATCAGAAATTTCAACTTCCAGAGTCATTCCTGGGAAATCAGCTGCATCGGCATTTACACATGGTCCTTCTGATTATGAACAAAAACAAAGTTGCTGGAAAAGCTCAACAGATCTGGCAGCATCTGTGGAGGAGAAAACAGAGTTAACATTTCGGGTCTGGTGACCCTTCCTCAGAACTGATGGTGGCTGGGAAAACGTCAGTTTATATGCAGAAAATAGGGAGGTGGGTGGGGTAGGGAGCAAACGATAAGATAGAGCCCAAAGAGAGAGAAAGACAGTTGGACAGACAAAGGAGTTGCTAACGAGTCCTTCTGATTATGCTGCTGCAACAATTATTTTCCCATTGGAACATCTTTCTACCTGGCAATCTGGACCTGAAACTCATCAACCCTATTTATCACACTCCTTCATTTGCACACGTTGTGAGAAATTATTCTCAATGCAATATTGTCTTCCAGTCTGAACAATGATTTGATCTAAGCTTATCCACTGCAGTCTTTTAGCTGATTGACCTGAGAAGCAAAGACCGAATTGCTTAATCCTGATATTGTATCCCCCGTTGGAATACATTGTGGAGACTGGACCAAATTACCCTTAAGTCATTCACCATCTGGTTCCTCCATTCTTTTTTTAGCAGCAGCATCTCCAACGTATTTCTTCACTGCTACCCCAAAGACAGCAAAATGGCATAGACACTTGATAGCATGGCCTTACATCCAAGTTACGCTATAACAGAAGTGCGGCAGTAATGATCTGCAACCACCTCTTCCATGGGGGTCCTACTTTGCACAAAATGATAAATGACTGTAAAGTTTGGTGAGAGAGTCATACACTAAAACACTAGCATTATTGAAAGTGTGTTGCATTTTGAAACTGCCGTAACACAGAATACAACAAACTCATTGTTCGCTATCTGGCTACATTGGAACTGATTGCATTTCAATCAAGTGAACCAGTGTAAATCATTTACAGATTAATTTAGACAGACCTGTTTGTTGATCTTTGTAATTATGGGCAAGATAATTAACAAATTTAAGAGAAATGTTACTAAAGATCGGCTGTATATAAAAACAATACTGTGCCAGAATGGCCTCTGACTGTACCCTGACCGTAAGAGCATTAAATTGTGCTTCTTCACAAAGGCCTTGCTGTGATTTAATGAATGCACTTCAAAGTCTGCAAATACGATTTAACAGGCTTGAGTACACTGCAGTCATGAGACTTTTCAAGATTGCTAAACCTTCCCCATGCCCTCCTTTCTTTCTGAGAAAGTACATAAACAACTGACGTGTATCCATGCTTGTTTAACGCCTTGATTTGGTCAGCAATATTTAAGGCAGCAAGTCAGGGTCTTGCTCGACCAGGGTGTAAAGATGGTAACTACCAAACCTATCATTGAGGGATTCAGTGAGTTGGAAGTATTTGCACTTGGGACTACTCTATTACTGGAAGGTAAAAATGGGCTTGTTTGATTTCACAGAAGCTTGTAAAATTGATGTAGTGTACACTAGATTAATTTATCTTCAGTTTCTGTCATTAATACAACATTCACTAACAGTGACAGTGCAATGTGTCTAAACATCAATGTGTGAGAATATAGTTGTCTCCATGTAGCATATGAACAAGTGGAAATACCTTAGGTTTATGTAAGTCGATGTCAAATATGTGTTTGAGTGCTATTGTTTGTTTAGCAAGACTAGATTTTATCTTCCACAGTTGTATTCAGTCAAGAAGATCTTAGAATTCCAATAGGATTTCCAAAGTGCGTTTCTGGGGCTGCTTTGCATGTTTATTCAGCTGTTAGAAAAAGTGGATACTGCAAATTCAATAAACTTGAGATTAGGTTTATTGTTTAGTTACATCACAAGTGTGATTGTATGTGAGTTGGTTTGATAATAAGTTAAACATAATCTGATTCAACATTACTGAATACATAGGTATTTTACCGACATAGTGCTGCTTCTCAAGAAAAAGAAGCAAAGAAAAATATGTAAACGTATGATGCAGCCCAAATGAAAAGCAATATTTTATGTTTTATCATTTGAACCCATCCCCAGATCTCTGTTCTGCTCCACAGCTCTCCTTGGACTGTTCCTGAATGTGATAACGATTTTATCCTTTTACAAGATAAAAGAAATCCAGACACCAAGCAATCTCTTAATAGCCAGCTTGGCTGTATCGGACACTGGCATCTGCTTGAATGCATTTGTAGCTGCTTTCTCAAGCTTTCTAAGGTAGACCTGGTTATCAATTTCTTGGTTTGGTTTCAGAGAATTACTTAAGGTGTACAGCACAGAAAAAGGTAATTTGGCTCAATTGATACATACCAGTGTTACACCAGCCTGCTCCATTCTCCACCGCAACCAATCAACATAACTTTCTATTCCTTCCTCCTTCATGTTGTTACAATCAAATGGTAAGGAGGAATGAACTCTGTTTTTGTTTCAATCCATTCTCAGTCAATTGCAACAAGTATTTTTACTTCTTTAGCATGCGGTTATACCAGGCATCATTTAAAGATATGGCTAGTAGATCAAAATAAAGGAGCCAATTACAAGGGTTTCTTAAGTAAAAGAGGAATATTATTACCTATTAACCCCAAGTAAAATAACAAATACACAACATCAAAAACACACAAAACACACAGTTGATAACTTTAAAAGAGTAAGTGTCTTGTCCAGACAGGAAGAATAAAGGCTACACAGTTTAAAAGTCATTAGAATTCTTGAGGTGTAAGATTTTTAACCTAACACCACAGTTGTTTAATTGTTGATTGGCATCCTCAGCAGTAGTAAAGCATGTAGATACCATTGAGAACACAACCCAGTGAACTGTTCTTTCTACAATTTGTTTTTTTCACTGGGTGCTGTTTTCATCAGGTGATGAGAGACACTGAGATGAAGAGAATTTTTCAGCCCTCACTGTTACCAATCCAGATTCTTTCTTTCTACTCTGCTGGTCAAAACCATCTCCTGAAATATGGCTCAGTGTATATTCCCATGCCTGATTTAATTGTCTTCACAAACTGTCTTTGCAGTCATGTCTCTCACCTGTCAAAATATGAAATTATCACACAAATGTGAATTAAAACAGAAGATATGAATCTGAGATGCTTGACTCAACTGCCAAGTTTCAAGATTTTAGATAAAATGACAATTTTGATGTAGTTAGTTTTGTTTATTGGTCTCCTGGACTTGCCTTGGCCTGGGGTCAGATGATCACTGGAAGCCATTGTTAGACAGTTTTTATTCTTCCTTTAAACAATTTTAGTCCATGTAAGGTCTAAAGTATAAAAATCAGATGATGGAAATTAAAATCCATATTTACCACCATCGCAATGTATTTATATAGCAGTGTATTTATCTGGATTCCTCTTAAATGTTAAATATATGTTCCACATGCTAATTAGGCTCTGAATAAAGAATTCTCCTGAATTTGCAACTCAATTTATTAACTGTCGCTTCATATTTACAGCACCTAACTTTGGACTCCCCTACCTCGATGCCTATATGTTTCTTGCCTGCTTCCCTCACAGGTACTGGCCATATGGATCAGAAGGTTGCCAGACTCATGGTTTCCAAGGATTTTTGACATCTCTTGCTAGCATTAATGCGTGTGCTGCCATTGCTTGGGACAGGTACCACCTGAACTGCAGCAGTAAGTCATTCCAAGCTAATTCTGAAACACAACTGACACAGATTGAATTGCCTTCTACCAATAATGTTTGTTTCATTTTATCCTCCTCTCAGTTTACATTTTCCAAGTAAATCCGAGAAGGAAAATTTCAGGAAATTTTGAAACGTTAAGGAGTATTATATTTTTCCCAAGGCATTTAGATTATAGAAAGCGTAGGAAGCTTTAAACTTGTAAGGAAGACATGGTTGAAACTTTTTCCTGGATCAACTTGCCTCACAGACTAATGCGCCTCACTGAAATCTTAGGGAAACAAACAAGTTTATTCATCCCAGTGTCAGACATGTGAACGAACTGTAAAACCTGAAGCAGAACAAAGAATTCCAAATTCATTTGAAGCCTGACTATGCTGTGACCAGCTCCTTATTAAAACAGCAGTCTTTGTGGAGCTCATTAGGATTCATTCCTTGTGAACAAATTAAAGATTAGTGAAAGACTGACTGTAGCTCATTGTGGAGTTGATCTTTTTTTAAGTAATCTGTTGGTCTATTCTAGCCAAGAGGGTGGAACTTCGAATTACTCCAGTTTCTCCTTTAACAAAGCATTTAAGTGTAGTGATTCCAAATAGTCACAACACTGGTCAGTTATGTAAGGAGCTGTGGAAATAATCCCCTTTTCTTGAACTCTAAATACACTAAATCTGATTTAACTTTTTTTAAAAATTGCCACATCCTTTTCTAGCCAGAGGATGGTGATTCATTACTGGGCTGTGATTCCTCTGTGAGCTGTAGCAGTAAAGCCTCTATAAACTGCTTAATTAAAGGGAAAGCATCATGGCCAACCTTCAAACTGTCCACACTTTGGGTAGAAAAAGTCACTGGAGAACTGTTAGAGTTTAGAATCCAGGCTAATTTCCTTTTACCTAACCCCATATATCAGGGATCAGATTTAGGACTATTTTGGAGTGATGCTCAGCTGATTGGTAATTCAAATCACAGAATACCTTGACATATCTGAATTTTAGCAAGAGTTTGTACATGGCTAGAAAACTCAGCAATCTATGATATTAAAGTTGTTTTTTGTTGAAAATGGATTGCTAAAATGCCGATTGGTGAACTTAATGGTGAGTTAGTTTAACTTAGATTTCCACTCATCGAATACCATTTATGTATGGATTGACAACCATCCACATATTAAATCCTATTTGCAGGGTCAAGATTACAATGGAGCAGTACCATGACTGTTTTGGCAATTATCTGGGGATTTGCTGGATTCTGGGCTTCTATGCCATTATTTGGATGGGGTGAATATGATTACGAACCGTTACGAACTTGCTGCACACTGGATTACTCTAAAGGTGACAGGTATGTTGATGAATTTCTTATTAATGTAATTCATTCTCAGGATGTAGGTCTTGCTGGTAAGATTGGCATTTGTTGGCAATCCATAGCAACTGTGAAAAAATTGTAGTGGACATTCTTCTTTGTACTTGGTTGGCACAAACAAATAGTTTTGTTAAGCTACTGGACAGAGTTAATCATATGGCATGGAACAGGATGATAGTTTCACCTTCTGGCCATTAAATGGCCAATTCAAGAAGCCAGATAAGTGGCTGTTCCCCACGCACTACAGACCTCTGATCCTTAATTGACCCTGAATTCAGGTCCCAAAAGGGGAAAATCCTTTTTGGATACCAAAGTCCTGATGACTCATCAAACTATCTCATATATCTATGTAGGCTACCAGTCTCCCAACATCTTAATTTTAAAATCCTTGACTTCACCTTCAAATCCCACATGACCTCACTTAATCCCATTTCTGCATCCCCCTCCAGCCCTACCATTTCTCCAAACTCTGCATCCCTCTGCCAACTAGGCTCTTACGCATTGCCTCCACTTGCTTTGCCCCATCTTTGGCAGTCATGCCTTCAGAAACCTAAGCTCATACTGTCAATCTCTTGCTGTGTTTTGCCATCTCTAAGTTCTTTTTTAAGACCCTTCTTACAACTGGTCTATTCAGCCAAGCTTTTGCTCATCAGACCTGATCTTTCCTTCTCTGGCTTGACATCTGTTTTCCATCACACCTCTGTGAGGCTACTTGGAATCTCTGTCTAAATTAAAGGCACTACATAAATGCAAGTTGTATCAGGGCAGAAGAACACTGACAAATTTAAATCCCTTTTCAGGAAAGGAGTGTTATTGCTCTCAAAATGCAGGTAAGTTGATAAAGCGCCAATGGGTGTCCATTGGGCTCCAGGAGAAAGTGGCAAATCTGATTTGTGACAATGTTGGATTTAGAATTAATGCAGTATCAAACTGAAACAGGTCAGCTCAGATTACAGATATGGACTACCAGTTTTGTTCCATGTGAAGTACAAGCTGCAAAGCTAACAGTATAAAGCACCTTAGATTAATTCAGTTTAAATAAAGAAAGACGTTCTGTTCTTTTTGAGCACTCAATCCTGAGCAAACGTCTTTAATGAGGCCTGAGGATACCTTTGGGAATCACATTGCCTAAAGGAAGTCAAAGCTCAAACACGTCCACTGCCTGTATAATATAAACTGCAGATGCTGCAAAAATGTTCATATCATTCTACTTTGTGAAACATGAATTGGAGTCTGAGTCATAATATTGCCTGTACCTTGATTTATTTTCCTATCAGAACATTTGTCTCATTCTTCATCCCAGTGGCATTTTTTGAATTTGTCTTCCCACTTTTCATCATGGTAACTTCTTACCAATCTTGTGCGAATAAATTCAAGAAAACTGGACAAGTCAAGGTAAAAATAAGTTATGTAATCTTATTAAGACTGCAACAAAAATGTCTTAGATCTTTTCATTGCCATGACAGTACACTTGCAGTTTAAACATAGTTTTCATGACTGTTTTATGATTTTACTGTACATACTTTTGTTCTAAATCTTAGTTAAAGGGGGTAGTGCATAAAAGAAACAACAGTGCAAAACTGCTTCTAATTAATTATTTGGGGCAATAATATGTGCCAAGTGTCAGTCTGAGCAAATTATTAATGGAGCAAGTTGCTTACAGTGAGAGAGGTTATAAAAGCATTTAATGTATCCCTGCAAACTAGTATTAGCAAATAGTGAGACATTGTCACGATTAGTGAAGTTATCAGGGATACATTTCTAGATGGTTGGCAGTCTGACATCATTACATTTTCTTTCTATCACATATCTGGTGATGTCAGGTTGACTTAAGTGGAAAAGGGCATTGGGCAGAAATGTTAATTCCTATGATCTGTTCTGCAAAATAAATCTCACTCCCCACATCTACGAGTGACAATGTTCACAAACTTTTATGGCCATATCCTTATGAGCAGATTGATTGAGTGCATCTACTGTCCTCCCTGGAATACAAGTGTTAGTTTTAAGAGTGTCATGTCAATGAGCTCTTTTCTGAGGAGGGTTATCTGTCTGACTTGGACCTTCCCTTGTGCTGAACCTACTTTCCACATGAGTGCTATCTGAGCTAGTTTGACCATTTCTCACCTCTCCCAATCCTTCAATAACTATATAGTTAAATCATTATAACTTCTTCCTGAAGCATGCTAATAGAGTCTTATTCCCGATGTTGATATATCTGTACTTGTAAAAGTTCCCTTTCTACTTCTGGTGAATGAAGAAACTACTTACAGGCAGAGACTGGAGTAAACAAAAAGAGTGTTTTTATCATGAGAATAGTGAAGCTAGTGTATTTAATTCTATTTCTACATTCGGAGACAGAGACTGACCGCAATGTACGCCAGGCTAAGAATATCTGATACTACTATCTGGAGAGCTGTCATACTTTATTTTTATACATTTGCATCAAAGAGAAGATCTTCACATACCATTAAACTGGTTTGTTTGTTAAAAGGTAACGTTCCCATAAAATATCAAATCATCCTGGAAACACACTCTTAAGTCCAGGGGCTGCCTTTCAATTGGCCAAACATGGATTCTTGAGAATTTTGAAGCTGAATGCTTTGTTTTTATTCCCAGCTTGTCCACATAACTTCAACAATTTGATGTTTTGTGAAATATTTCCCTTGGCTCTGATTTTTGATTTTGAAATAACTAAAGGCACCAGTGGTTTGTTATAGCTCAGTCAAGGGAGTGTGAATTGCTGTGTCAACATGCAAATTTACTTGAATGCTGTAGTTTGGAACTATAGACGGTGACGTGAGAAGGTTCAACTTTCTTATCATCACATGCATGACCAGGAATCTTTCCCGTGCTTAACACTTGGGTGTTTTGTAAGTACTTGCATGCTGATACTCAATATTTTTGGCCACGCTTCAAATCCACTTTCTTTGACCATCAAGGCCGTCATGAAGTGGGACGTGAACATTGAACTTCTGGGTCAGGAGCGAGAACTCACTGTCCCAAACAACCCGAACAAGGTGATACCAGTAGGAAATGGGTATTTGTAGAGGCAAACATTCATGCTGTAATTAATTTAGAATCTTCATAGTTTAATTAACTAAGAAACTCGTGCTGGCTACAAAGAGTATGATTTGATGGTTTCTGCACAGTATCCATGTCCAAGCATTCAGTTCAACCACTGACTCCATACTGATGGGAAGTTTCATTGTAAAGCTCCACTTTGTGCACATCCCAAGCCATTAGCAGCATTTCCTTTCCAACTGGATATCATGCAGCTTCAATAGAATGATAACAGAAATGAAAAATACAGTTATGAAAAAAACCTTAATGAGGGCACATTTTACTTGAGACAGATGTTATGCAGCAAACCAATGGAGGCATTCAGAAAGTGCTAAATGATGAAAATTGTTTTATGACATGGTAACAAGAGGGAAATGCCTTGCGAAGAATGAAGGAATAATTTAGAAAGTATTTTTCTCATGATGACTTACGTGAACAGAACATACCTATTTCAATTTCCATTCAGGCTGTCTGCAACATCATTAAAAAGCAATTTGATGAGTATTTATAACAGAATGTATACAATGAACCAGGAACAGAACATGGACTGGCATCCATCTGATATGCAATTTCTATTATTTTATGAAGAATTTTCTTTCTCTACTTTTGTGAATGCCAAGGGAGTTCTCCCTGCTTTGCTTCAGGAGCAAAATGGAAGCTGGCTGATATTATGGAATCAAAAGAGGAACAGCACAGAAAAGAGACCACTAGATTTTTGTTGGATCTCTTCAACAGCAACCCAGTTAGCCCAACCTTTCTCCATAACAAGCAATTGTTGTCCTTTAGAAATTGCTCCAATTCCCTTTTGAGGTTTACTATTGAACTTGTTTCCAACACCCTATCAGGCAGTGCATTCAAAATCCTAGCTACTCATTCCTGGTGTATCCAAGGCCTTTCTTTGCAAGCTGTTAAGCTTAATGGAGGGTTGATAATTAGTGAGGATATTGCTGCATTTCCAGTAAGATGGCAGTGAAATAGGACTCTCCAGCCGGAGCTTCTCCACTACGCCCATTCTTTTCTTTCGTTTTCTTTTACTCTCCCTCTTTTCCTCCTTTTGCTCCCTTCTCTCGGCCTCAGGCACTCGGCCCCGACCTCCGACTCCTGGCCTCTAAAGCAGTGTTGGGGGTTGGCAGGCCAAAGCAGGGATGGCAGTGACCAGCAGGCCAAAGAGGGGATGCCAGCAACACATGGCCTGGTGCAAAGTGGTGGGCAGCAGCGCAAGGCAGAGTGTGGTCAGACCATGTGGAGGTCCCCTCCACTGGTCTGCTGCAGAGAGATCTCATAGAGGAAGTATGATATTTGTCTTTTTAACTTCTTGGTTTTCTGACCTAACGTTATACTGTGTATACAGGAATGTAACTTTTTTACTTCATATCTCTATTCTGTAACTGACTGTACCTTGGTACTCTGTACCTAAGATGGCATTGATGACATTGTTGCACTGTAACTAATCTTGTAACTGAAGAAGCTGTACCTAGATACTTTTGTACCTAAGATAGTGCTGTAAGTAGCCACTTATCAAGATTTCACCGTACTCATTTGAGTACATGTGACAACAAAGCTAATTCAATTCAAATTCTTCTAATTCTGCTGTTTCAGTCCAAATATTCCATATAACACAAATACAGAAGATAGTATTATTACATGTCTCTATCTTACCAACTGAAGGAGTTACTGAAATTGAAAAAAAGTAGTCCTCAAAAAAAGAATTATTTTGGCTTCTCCAAATGTTGCTGCTTTTTCTGAGATCAACATCAGGCTGCATTTCTGATTTGGAAGCTGTAGGGGGTTCAGCTGTACACAGGATAGTTGAGGTGAAGTGTGGGGGGAGCCTTGGGATGGATGTTAGGAATCGTAGAAAATTTATCTGGAGAGGAACCATTAATCATAGAATTGTAATCCAGTTAGGGATTATCAAAGATGGGGAAAAGATAGAATGGCAGCAAATTAAAACAGTGATAAATTCTACAGAGCCAGCTAAGAATGATGGGTTAACATAGGAAATTCACAGGTTTAGACTGACAAGTCTGATAAATAAGGAGGTAGAGCGTATAGAGAGATTGGTTAATATCATTGACACAGGTAGACATAATTTCAGTGGAACCTAATGGTTTCTTATTACGGTAATATGATCATTGCATGACTTATACCATTCGAACTCAAATTGTTTTATTTCCTCTCAGTTTAATACTAGATTACCTTTTAAGACTCTTTTGATTTGCTGGGGACCATATAGCCTGTTGTGCACGTTTGCTGTCTTGGAAAATGTTACTGTCTTGTCTCCAAAACTAAGGATGGTAAGTAATAATAATTGGCATTGTATTGATAAGGCTTGAGTATAAATTGGGGTGGGGCAGGAGCTCCCATTATACAAGTGGTGCTATTTTACTAAAGAATAAACCAGAACAGTTTCTTTGATTTCACTCCATTTTTCAAATATTATACTGTTCAGAGATAAACAAACACAATTCTAAATTAGCTAGTTGTTTAGAGATGCAGTAAAATTGATGAGTAATCTGGAAAAGAGCCGTTATGTTGTGTTTGAGGGAGATATGGATATATGATTCTTGTTTTACCCAGGGTCTGTAGATATTTGCTGTTTCTATATTTAATTTGATGAATTTTTAAAACTAATGTCACCATTATTCTTTCTGTTTACCCTTGTCTTGGCAGCTCCCTGCCATCGTTGCAAAGACGTCACCTATAGCCAATGCCTTCGTCTATGCTCTTGGAAATCCTAACTACAGAGGAGGGATCTGGTCCTTCTTAACAGGAGAGAAAATTGGATCCATTGAAATGGATGGGAAACTTAAATAAGTAAAATTCAACCATTCACAGAACAATCATTGGAACATAAACTGAAGTGCACACAGAAGCTTTAAGACCCAATCTTTATATCAAGTTGCTTTCACAGTAGAAGCATTTTGCACACTTTACAAACCAAGGAGTTAGAATGAATATACTGGTAGATTATAACAACACTCGAATATGCATGTACAGCTCTTGGCTTCAAAGAGCCATAAATCCATGTTATTTACACACACAAACAAAAACAGAAATTGGTGGAAAATCTCAGCAGGTCTGGCAGCATCTGTGGAGAGAAATCAGAGTTAACATTTCAGGTCCAGTGACCCTTCTTCAGAATAGATTTCTCTCCACAGATGCTGCCAAACCTGCCGAAATTTTCCAGCAATTTCTGTTTTTGTTTCTATTTTCCAGCATCCGCAGTTCTTTTGTTTTTTTAATCCTGTGTTATTTGCGACTGCTCAGTTGGTCGCAAATAAATTATATTCTATATCCTACTTTTTGTAGTCCCTTTGACATTTGCACTTCACTTGATTTATGGAATGATAAGTAGCTATGGAAAATTTGTTATCTGTTTAACTGGAGCAATGCAAAATTAGAAATGCACAAGTCAGTTTAAAAAGAAAGTGAAGCTTGTAACATGAATAGATTCAGTCCTTCCTCCCAGGAAGTGTCTTAATGCAGAATATGACTGCATATCAACACCATTTTCAAAAATACATTCTCAGGAACCTGCCATTTGTGAAAATTGGATAATGACTGCAAATGGGTCTGAAGGTGGAGCTATTGACGGAGAAATTGTTAACAATATACTTAAACATTATAGGCATGATATAATGATAAGCCATTGCACTGAAGTAAACAATTAGCATTGTATATTTTTCAAGCAGGCTGCAGATACATAATTAGTCTTTGTGACATTGCACTAGCTGGATTGCTATGTGTTTTGACAGCATTTATCTTTTCAATTTTAAACAGCTGAACTCAAGAGAGTTTAATATTGGATGTTATTTAGATATTTACAAGCTCAAGGAAACCATATTTTCAAGTGGTCTATGTGTTTCAATAGAACTTTGAAAAAAATATTTGAATGCTTATATAAGCCTCAAAAAAAATGGAAGTCTAGCTCTAAATTGCTAATGTTCAACATTCTTTATAAGTTTATATACCTTCACGTATGGACCGCTCTATCAATGTCTACACTTGGGCTCGACATTTAAGAGTGCACCTTGTTATGGAAAATAACAAAAGCACTCTGCTTCCATATTCCAGGATTAATGCTAATATATTCCGATTGCTGAGGTTGAAAAAGGGTTATTTGATTGCCCAATGTACTGGTAAATCATTATAATCCTTTATCCTTGGCACAATGTCAGACTAAGTTAATCAGTGCAAGTGGGAAGGGCAAAGCCTTGGGATTTATTTCTCATAAACAATTTTATTAGCACAATTTCTTTAGTTTACCTAAGTTGAAAAAGTGCACTCTAAATGTTTCATTTACTTCACAGTCAAATTTAGGGGAGGATTATATTTTTATTAGAAAACTCAAGACATGAATGACATTGATAACAACAAAATATTGATTTATAACGCAGCATTGCAATTCTGCAGAGTGCAATTTGTGGAAATTACAATTGTTAAATAATGGGCACTATTGAATACTGTAACACCTCAAATTTAAAAAGAAATCTATTTGTTAGGTTAAAGAGACTTTAAAAAGTCTTGGAAAATATGATTTTTAACCTATGACTTATGTTGCTACGGTTCCTGATCGTGATGGATGCTGCTGCTAGTTCTATGATTCCTGATGATAGGTACATTTGCATATTTGGCTCATCTGCCTTGTCATTTATTCAAGAATATCTCAAGGACTTGTACAACAATGCCTAAACATTTTTCTGTTTGTTCTTTTAAAAAGAATTCTTTTTTTTCTGTCTCTCTTGTTCTTTATTCTCTTAGTCCACTATTTGCCTTATTTCTCTTTCTGTCTCGAATTTAACTTTAATTTATTTTTAAATTTACTTCCCTGTAACTCATTCTGATCCTTTCTCTGCCTTCTACTTTCATAAGTTAAGTTGATGAGTCATTGGGCATGAAATTCACACGACCACAGATGACACTTTAACTTTGCCATGCTTTGCTGGATTAAGGTTCCAGCAATTAAAGGTGCCAATCTAGTACAAGGTCAGCAGTGAGCTAACATAAGGAACAATTTCATTCTTCAGCATTACAGCTCAATATCACCATCGTTGCACTATCAACAAGCTTTGGAGGTGCCTTTGTGAATGAGGCTATTAAATCTGTGAGCCATTCCCTAATTCCACTGGTACAAATGCCCTCTGAGCAGCAAGTACTGGCATTACTGGGTGAGCTGTTTCTCTTGAGTTGAATGAGTTTGACAGAGCTGTGAATGGTTCCCTGCAGTGTACCAAAGATTGGCACCATTCTGATCCTTCAAGGTTGCTTTTGCATGTGAATATTAAAACTGAATTCTTCAAGTGCTAACCAAAACATGAAATTGGATCTGTTGAACTACACAATGATTGCCTGAGAAAACCTCATTAAGAGCACTCTACAGTTTTGGTGTGAGGCCTTCCTAAGCCTTGAGAATCATGCAGTTACTGCTTTGCAGTCTTATTACACAAGCTCACTAATGCCAGCTGGGGCAATAGATAATTTACAATCAACCTATTCAGAGATGTCATTACACACCACTGGAGCAGCTAGAATTTGAACCCAGTCCACCAGGCCCAGAGGTAGTGACACTATCACTGCACTAAAAGAGCCCTCATCTGGAGGGGTAGTAGACAGCTAAGAAGTACTTTCAGCATGGGTACACAACACGCATTCCAAAATTTTATCTATCTATAACCCCTATCTCAGATACATTCCTGCGTAATATGAATTTCTGTTTCCTGCTCCAACGCTTCTGAGACTTTTTCAGGTTATTTGTAATGTTAATTATTGTTCAACTAATAGTGATTTGTAAGTCAGTTTAAAGGCACTTCTCTTTCATTAACAACTGCAGTGTCAGAATAGAAACAGTGTGATGTCATAATGACAACAGGCCCAAATAGCAGGAACTTCTCAAACCAAAATTACACTTTGACAAAATATAATCTGGAAAAAGACTCATAAATAAATCAACTCAAAAGTGAGGAAATAGGACCTTCCCCTCTCTGAGACTGAACGTAACTGTCCTCAGCAAAGGACTCAGCTTCATACCCCTATGCCCCCACCTTAATGAATTTTGGGCTCACCATGACATTGAACTGTTTTTCTGCCGCTTCTGTCTCATAGAGTCATAGAGCTGTACAGCACGGAAACAGACCCTTTGATCTAACTCATCCATGCCAACCAGATATCCTAAATTAATCTAGTCCCATTTGCCAGCATTTGACCAATATCCCTCTAAAACTTTTCTATTCATATACCCATCCAGATGCCTTTTAAATGTTGTAAATGTACCAACCTCCACCACTTCCTCTGGCAGCTCATTCCGTACACGCACCACTCTCTGTGTGAAAAGGTTGCCCCTTAGGTCCCTTTAAATCTTTGCCCTTTCACCTTAAACCTATGCCCTCTAGTTTTGGACTGCACTACCCTGGGAAAAAACCCTTACTATTCACCCTACTATGCCCCTCATGATTTTATAAATCTCTATAATGTCACCCCTCCGCTTCCGATGCTGTAGGGAAAATAGCTCCGGCCTCTTCAGCCTCTCCCTATTGCTCAAGCCCTCCAACCCTGGCAACATCCTTGTAAATCTTTTCTGAACTCATTCAAGTTTCACAACATCCTTCCTATAGCACCGCAGTATTCCAAAAGTGGCCTAACCAATTTCCTGTGCAGCAGCAAAATGACATCTGCACTCACTTCGTTAGGCAGGACCAGCAACACATCCCACCACACACACACCTCCCCCCCGCCCCTGCCCACCCCCCGTTCCACTGATCCCTACACTCACCTCCAGTATTCACCCTCCACTTGGACCCCTTCCCCTGGGCTCTTACCCTGTCCTCGTACTATTCATTGAAAACAGCTGGCATGACATTTGCCGTCTCAATTTCTCTGCTCCTTCTGCTTCTGAAATTGCCACACTTTGCTCTCTTATGTCTAACCCTAACTTTGTCATCAAACCCACCGATATAGGTGGCGTCCTGATCTTTATTTTGCAGAGCTCTCAAACTAGGCAGTTTACAACCTTCTGGACTCAATATTGAGTTCAACACCTTCAAATTGTTAACCCATTCCTTCCCTTTCTTTTAGCTTTGCTTGTTATATTCTCTGCCACCATCTCTCCCCTCCACCCACCCCAGTGAGATTGTCTGTTCTTTCCAGCCTGGCCATTAGATAAGGTCAAAAATCACACAACACAAGGTTATAGTCCAACAAGTTTATTTGAAAACCCAAGCTTTCGAAGCCTCATTCCTTCTTCAAGTATTAGTGAGGGAGGTGGCATCAGATACAGAATTTATAAGTAAAAGATCAAAGGGTCACCCAACTGATGAGGATGTATTGAACATTCCTAAGATGCTGTTAAATCTTTAATAAGTCAGAATGTTTTAATTGACTAATATATACATGTAAATCCCTGAACTTCTTTCAAGTCACTGACCTGAGAGGTTTTATCAGTGTAAAGAAGAGGTGACATTTTAGGTCAGAAAGTGAATGTAAGGTGTGAGGCCTTGTTTAGAAACAAAAACTGAAGTTGCCGCAAAAGCTCAGCAAATCTGGCAGCGTCTGTGAAGAAAAAAATCAGAGTTAATGTTTCAGGTCTGGTGACGCTTCCTCAGAACACTTCTGAGACACACACACACACACACACACACTCTCTCTCTCCCACGCACACACACACAGACACACTCTTTCTCTCTGTCCCCCTCTCTCACACACACACACACACTCTCTCTGTCTCTCTCACACACACACACACACACACACACACACACACACACACACACACACACACACACACACACACTCTCCCTTCCACAAACATACCTTCTCTCTCTCCCCCTTGCGCACACACAAACACACGCACACACACACTCTCTTTCCCTCCCTCACACACACTCTCTCCCACATACACACACACATACACTCTCTCTCTCTCTCTCACACACACACAAACACACATGCACTCTCTCCCACACACACACTTTCTCTCTCTCTCTCTCTCCCCCAACAGACAGACAGACGCACACACATATTCTCTCCCTTACACACACCCACACCCACACACACACACACTCT